ACGCAACACAGAGTGAACTATAAGAAAAATTAAAACGAACTGACAGGTTGATATTATTTGGACCGAGCTGAATTAATATACGGCCAAGTTCAGCACATTACACAGCTGTCTACACCAAGCCACGCCCACATACACTCGTGCTGAGGCACGTCCATACTCATTGGATGAATCTTGTGGATGTGGGCGGACCCTGAGCTGAACAAAATTAGCCCCAATGAGCCGCAAACCGAGGGGGCGTGGCCAGACGTCTGTCAATCATTCTGAACCATGACGGAACAGTAACAGAACGGGGCTGTCAGAATTTAGCCCCTTTGGAACGATCCTGGGATTTTTTCCAGGTGTTTTGACACTAGTTTTGTTGTAAATTTAACAAATAGTGATGCATTATTTCTCAAATGTATTTTTAAGTTGTTATTTTTAAGTTGTTTATTTTAACATCTTTATTGCAAATGCCAGACTGGGAGGGCTTAGCCCTCCTAGCCCACTGATACCAGCCGTCACTGCCCCTATTGCTTGTACTCTTTTTTCTAACACATCGTTTCCTTCCCTTCACCTCTCTGTAAATGTGCTTGAACACAGAGCTCTGTGAACAGCCAGCCTCTTTAGCAATGACCTTTTGTGTCTTGCCCTCCTTGTGCAAAATGTCAATGGTCATCTTTTAGACAATTGTCAAGTCAGCAGTCTTCCCCATGATGGTGTAACCTACAGAGCTAGACTGAGACCATTTAAAGGCTGTTGCAGGTGTTTTGAGTTAATTAGTTGATTAGAGTGTGGCAGCAGGTGTCTTCAATATTGAACCTTTTCACAATATTTTAATTTTCTGAGATACTGAATTTGGAGTTTTCATTCTTGTCGGTTATGAAATCCCGGTCCAGGGGCCTTTCTGGGAGGAGTTTGCATGTTCTCTCCGTGCATGCGTGGGCTTTCTCCAGGTACTCCAGTTTCCTCCCACAGACCAAAAACATGCATGTTAGGCTGATTAGTAACTCAAAATTGTCCCTAGGTGTGAGTGAGAGAGTGAATGGTTTGTCTCGTTTGTCTCTATGTGTCCCTGTGATGGACTGGAGACCTGTCCAGGGTGTACCCCGCCCCTTGCACAGTGATTGCTGGACATGGGCACCAGTGATCCCTGTGACCCCAAAATGGAAGAAGTGGGTAAAAGATAATGGATGGATGGATATATCTACATATTTCAGTAAGCTAATATATCATTCTAATAAAAACATACTTCAGGAGTTTCTAACAAAAGTACTATAATAAATTTTCCATAAGTTTCTGGTAAAACATGAAGTGCCGTTCTTCCTTCAATGCTGAACCTTTTCCTGCTGAGTAGAGCTGTCATTTCTAACCCGAGCCCTAAGCCCCACCCCACCTGACCCGAATTCAGGGCAGGCCGGGCCATGATAATGTGCTGGATGGGCGGGCCGGGTCAGTGTTGGTCTTTTAATTGGGTCAAGGTTAGCCACAATTCAATTATATGATAACATAGCCTGCCATCACCAGCCGCATGCGGTCATTTCACCGCAAGCTGCCCGGACTTGAAAGAGGTAAAAAGTTCAGTTAAGCTTTAGATGGGACTGTACTGTCAGGGAGCGGTCCATCGCCCAAATGGACGTTCATTCAGCCGCTGAACTCAGCGGACGCGTGTGGCAGCCACCAAACAGGTGAGATCCCAAAGCAGATGTGTGTCAGAGCAAGATCCGTGTCTGAATAAATCAGAATGCAGGCAGAAACAGGGTTTAAATGCTCTTTTACAGCCATGAAATGACAAATGCCCTCTCAGCTCCGATCTTCTTCCCCTTTTATTCAGCCACGCGTCCCCGACCATTAATAACTAATTTAAAATGTTGTTTTTTTTCCCAGGTTCGGACCTGTAATTACTGTTAATTCATCGTGTTGGGTGGGGTTCGGAAATGATGACTGTGGGCTGAGGCCAGGTTGGATCTGATTTTTTGGGCCCGAGTACTCTACTACTGAGAACCAACATTTGCCAGGACTCTTGAGATGTTACACTGAGGATCATTTCTATAAGTTGTGGTTGTGCACGGGAGTGTTTCATGGTTCTCATGGATTAGGAAGTTAAATTTAACTGGAGTTTATCCCTGAGTGTGCAGAATACCAGGATAATCTCCAAGCTCACAGAGGTTACATTATAGAGAGGGAAGAGGAGGGCACCGCTGTGTAATTGTGCACTGAGCGAGAATAAAATGAGATTTTTACAATAACGAGTGCAATAACGAGTATGTCATATTAATTTTGCCCCAAACTGACCAACAGATGGAAATGTCTCATTAACCCACACCCTGACCTTATTCAGTGTGATCAGCATGTCAGTCTAAGTTACTACATTTTAAATTTGGAAGGTTTCTAAAGAAGTAGTTTAAGGGAGATAAGTTCATGTAAAAACATAAAAATAACTTCAGTGTGAACATTGTTGCGAGAGAGTGAGATATTTAAATCAGCAAATAACTCAAACTTTGACAGTGTTAGACCATCTGGACTTCACTGTATATGATATGTCAGGATCTGGTGCGTGCAATCAGATGAAGATTATGTCAGACACAGACAAACCCCATATTTCAAAGAAGACATATGGTATTTTAACTTGTTTCTTGCTGACTGTCACAACAGAAAATTAGGAATGGGAAGCGATTTCCAAATATTAAAAGTCTTGTTAAAATTGGTGAAATTAAAATTAAAAAAAAGAAACACCCACATGTGGTGCCTTATCAGCTGTGACATCAGTCATGGAGCATGGAGTGTGATGAAAGAGAGAAGGGTCTTGAAGATAAAGTTAAAAACCTTTTCGTTTGTACAAGCGCATAATAAGCTTTTATTGCTTAGGGCTTAGTACAGGGCCGGAGTGGGACTCATTTTCAGCCCTGGAGTTTCATGCCTCAGACTGGCTCACTTTAGATCATGACTTTTTATGTATTATTAAAATCATGTAATTATAACCTTACATCTGGTGCAATTCTAGAATATACCCTTCAAGGGTGCTTGGCCCTCAGTTTGGACAACATCTCTTGGCTTGAACAACGCAATGACCATTGGCGTCAGAAACATTTGCAATGTGGGGCAGACACACTAGCGGTCACATGATAGCGGTCATTTGATATTGTCTGGGGCTCCTCCCCCAGATAATTTAAAATAAAGTAGATGCCATTTCCTGCATTCTGGTGCATTTTAACTGTCATTTAACACCTAGTTTTACCTACATAAGTAACACTCTATTCAATAACTATTTTAGAGTTAATGGCGCAACAAGAAATAACCTGACCAACAGCTCTCCTTGTGTGAATAGAGCACGCTCCTATTCTCTCAAGCAAACTGTATTCCACCCTCTAAATACTTAGTGTGTAACACGTGTCTGTATTACATTTTCTCCAATGACAACTTTAAACATTTTTTTCTGATGATTTTTCACAAAATCCCTCTGACGCTGCATATCTGCAGGTAAGGGGCATTTACCTTTGCAACAAATTAAGGTCTCTGATTGGTCAGTTGCTGACATGCCTACTGGATTGATTGACAGATGGGCGAGAGCTGCGACCAGCCCTGCATGGAGGCAGGGCGGCCCAGGAGCAGCGGTAGCAGTGTTCTTTGGTTTTATTCCCTTTCAGCGATGATGATGACAACCCTGGGGGAGTGGCCAGCTTTTGAAGAAAACTGTTTTTCATTGAATGAGTTGTGGTCATTTTCTGGGACCTTGGGGGTCTCAGGAATGGACCAGCGCTGTAGTCATTTTGTACCTTACATGTGTGGGTAAAATAACCCTTCTGAAATGGGTGATTTGTTCATATATGAACTAATCTTACAGAACAAAAAATGGTCAGTTCCTAATCTTAAACTTAACTTTTAACATTATGCTCACTAACAGCAGCTGAAAGCACTTTAGTAGTTTGACAAACTCATTCTGTTTGTGACAGGACCACAGGTAGTTTGATTTCCTGCCTCCTTGTATAAAGTTGCTGTGACCCAGATTTAGTTGCTTTTATGCCCCTTACTGTTTAACGAGAAGAATCAATTGGCATGCAAACTGATTTTAAATTTGTTACTGACCCTAGCTCATGGGCATCAGAAGCATTTGTAATGGGCATGTTGTTAAACATCTAAGTTTACCTAGATATGTTAACACTTGATTCAGTAGCTACGTATTTTAGAGAGCAACAAGAAGTAGCCTGACCAACAGCTCTCCTTGTATGAATAGAGCACACTCCGCTTCTCTCACGCATCCTAATCCCCCCAACCCACCCCCCACCCCACCCAGGTCAACCACTGCTAGCACTAACACAGCACTAAGCTAGCACACAACACAGAAGTGTCTACCCCTGGAAAAGGGGTTTCCTCACCAGGAAAACCCAGAGTGGATTTATAGTGGTCTGAGTATTTTCCCATTATTCAAGTGGAATGGATTAGTTCACCAAGAAATAGAAACTACGCTAAATAAACTAATACTTCATGGTAAATGTGCATGTGTGTGTGTGTGTGTGTGTGTGTATGTGGGAGGGGGGGGGGTGCAAATTAATATTATTTAAATGTGAGGGGGACATGTCCCTTCACATAAAATTGATGCAACACCTACGCGATGATACTCTGAGTTTTTTCATGCTCACATACAGAAGCTTGTTCGATTCTGTCAAGAGGCAGAAAACGTTGGCATCAGTGGACAGATAAAAATGGATCCGATCAATACTCCAACCTCTGCTCCTGAGCCTTCACACATGCAAACATATTCATGGTATTCTTGCTCATGGGTTAAACTGTTGCAGACATTTCCGTTTCTTGCTTTGGCATTAGGAGCTACAACCGTCTGTGGATTGTGGACTTTAAGTTATTCTCAGCTCCGCAGCAGTTTGATTTTTCAGCTCACTTATGTTTTGCTTTCTCTCCTGCTGTCTTCTTAATGGGGCTCTGCTGGCTGTAATTCACTTGGCTTTCTCTTCTCCTGCCACCACCCACCCTGTCTTCTTCCTCCTCCTTTCTCACTCATCTTCCAGGCCATCTACAAGATGGTGTCGTCTGTGATGAAGATGCCAGAGGATGAATCCACGCCAGAGAAGAGGACAGATAAGATCTTCAGACAAATGGACCTCAACAATGACGGTGAGAGGAGAGAAGTTTTAGGAACAGGAGGGCAGTTAAATGTGGGGCTTTATTAAGAAAAGTTTTTTGCAAAAATGTGCTCACATCCAATATTTATTCAATATCTTGCCAACCATCTAATGGTGGATTAGTAGCGCTTGATCAGGGCAGAAACACAAAACACAAAACCAAGCAAAAATTGGATGAAACAGTATCTTTTATGAAAAAAGTAAACAATTTCCTGCAGGATCAATAAAGTTCTATCTTATCTTATCTTATCTTAAAGTGAAGCACCCACACCTGCCTCCACCCTCGTTTGCCCCACTCTGGGCCCTTGAGCAAGGCCCTTTACCCCAAGCATCTGCTGTCTTGGGTGCCCTCGAAGACAGCTCTTTGCTCCACACAGAGGGCTGTGGTAGCTTGATGGTCTGTGGTTGCATCAAGAAGGACATCTGGTGTAAAAACAAATAACTCTTCATGTGAGTCAGTTCGCTGTGGTGACCTCTGAAGAAGGGAGCAGCCAAAAGAGGGGGGGGGGGGGGGGATAATTTACTCACCAGCAAGCCACCCATCCTGCACCGTGCCAGCTTGTAGTCTATTCCCAACCATTAGACCAAAAGAATTGTGCATTGAACCAGGCCACCTTGCCACAATGTTGGTTAGTTGCTTTTACACATTATTTATAATTTGCACAATGATTGAATGAAAATGCTTCCTGTTAACATATACGTCTTCATCCTGTGATGGTGCTTTTATAGCAATGTGTGTGCAGTTGATAGCTCCGATTACTTTAAGAAGTCCGGCTGTTGCTGCAAATTGCGTTTTAATGTTGACTTGTTAAACTGCACTGTAGGGAATTTGATATACCTGGTTGACATACAGGGTGGCACTATGGCTCAGTTGGTAGAGTTGTTGCTTCTCAGCGAGAAGGTCACAGAATCAAATCCTGACCTGGGGCTTTTCTGGGTGGAGTTTGCATGTTCTTTCTATGCTTGTGTGGGGTTTCTTCCCACAGGCCAAAACTTGTTAGGCTGATTGGTAACTCTAAATTGTCCCTAGGTGTGAGTGAGAGAGTGAATGGTTGTCTGTACGTGGCCCTGTAAGGGTGACTTATACCCTAAGGGTGTACCCTGCCTCTTGCACATTAACTGTTAGATATGGGCACATGTGACCTCCATAACCTGAAAAGGAAAAATTGGGTAAAGATAATGGATGGATGGATGGATGGTTGACATACAGATAATTCCATCCCACACAGCTGGCATGGCTTGGCTCAGGGTGGACTGGCTCTGTCCCGATCAGTCTGTCAGCTCCCTCTGGAATGCACTTGTTGCTATAGGAGCCCCAGTGTGGTCAGCAGCTGTATGTGTATGGACAGCGCATGGTTTCTTGCTGTGTCACATTCCAAGACCGGCCGCAGCTCCTAGCACAGTTTCTTAAATATTGTCCTTGGAAACCTACAACGACTAATGAGCCAGTCGTTATCATGGGCCAAAAATCCTCTGTCTCTAAATACATGCTCTCTGTGTATTGTGTCATTTGTTATATCCTCTAATAAAGCTAAAGCTAATGTTGTTAAAAATATTTTTGCACCCCTTTGCACATGTTCCACTTGTCTAATTGCATATATTACATGTGGCTGTATCAATTGTTCATTGTGTGTCTGGTGTGTACAATAATAGTTTTCACATCATTGACAGTTTCCCAGTAGCTCCTCTGAGTGTTTCCAATGGACCAATAACCATACACCAGTGTACACCAGCTATGCAGTTGGTGTGGGGCTGTGCACATTTCCACGGTCATTTCATTCTTTATACATTTGAAGTTTTGCATGAAAGGAGGTGTACGCCATGTTTTGGGACGTATGCACCCTTTGTACTTGTACATGAGGAGCCAGATCATGTGAATAGACTTGAAATTGGGAGGACTTTGTTTTTTATGACTGTTTTATGCACACACACTCTTCTGGACAGAGATCTCTGAAGTTGTTCCAGTGATCTGTTGGAGCCACTCTCCCAGTTTGGGGGTTACAGCAATGAGTGCTCCGATGACTACTGATGCTGTGACTCTCCATAACTTCGGTATTTCCTCTTTCAGCCCTTGGTATTTCTCGAGCTTCTTGAGCTTCTCATGCTCCTTTTTCCTGATGTTACAGTTGCTTAGGATTGCTACATATATCACCACAACCTTTTGTAGCTTATCAACCACTACAATGTTCAGTTGGTTAGTCATCACCTGTTAGTCTGGATTTGGAAGTCCCAAAGTATCTTAGCCCTTCTACTCTTCAATCCCCTTGGTGCCGTCTCCCATTTTGACTGTGGGACCTCTAGTCCATACTTGGCACAGACGTTCATGTATGCTATTCAAGCCACTTGGTTATGGTGATCCATGCATGCTTTGTCTGCCTGGATCTTACATGATGCTATTATGTGTTTGACTGTCTCAGGGGCATCTTTGCAATGCCTGCATCTGGTGTTTTTTCTGGTATGGTAGACCCTGGATTCTAGTCTCTTGTGCTGCCATGATTAGTGCCTCTGTGCTGTCCTTCAGTCCAGTCTTCTCTAGCCTTAGTTGTTTCATCCTGTATAGTGTATTGGATGCTCACTAGTCCTCTGCCTCCCTCCTCCCCTTAGTGTATAGTCTCAGGATGCTGGACATGGTGTGAAACCCTCTGTGCATTGTGGTGAGCCTTAGTGTCTTGATTCATGTGTCTATTCATTGTTAACTGCTATGAAGCCTGACAGGAACTTTCACGTTGTACAGATGTAGTAGATTGGCTGGTAGTTGGATAGAATTGCCTCTTTCTGGGGTTCTTTCATGATTAGGACCATACGGGCTGAAATCAACCACTCTAGGTGAGTTCCTTCCATTAGCAACTGGTTCATCAGTGCTGCTTCATGGAGAGCTGTCATTGTCTTTAGTCAGCAGGTGTGGATCATGTCAGACCTTGTTACAGTCCAGGTCTTCATACCTGACACTCACTATTGCACATCTATCATTGTAATGAATATTTATATACATATAGATGTAAAATATGCCCATGAAATCATAAGCAATGGGTAGTTTTCCACTTCCATTTTGAATCTTAACACCATGGTGACTTTTCAGGCGTAATTCTACAGTAACTGACTTTCTAGTTTTTGTCTATCTCTTTTTCAGGTAAATTGTCTCTGGAGGAGTTTATTAAAGGTGCCAAAAGTGACCCCTCAATCGTTCGGCTACTCCAGTGTGACCCCAGCTCCGCCTCCCAGTTCTGAACCTGCCCTGCCGCAAGCCTCTTATTTGATTTATAATCTATCTGTTGCTCTTTAAAAAGCTTCGAAAATCAACGCATGATGGTTCACATCTCTCATATCATCAATTCTGTTATTGTTTTGTGGAGAGGTTAGGGAGAAGAGCGAGAGTCACTTTTTATTTTACTTTTATATTTGAGAAAATAAAGAGACGTGTGTACATTTATGGGCTGGTCCAATGAGGCGCCTCCTTTGTTTTTTCAGAGAGCCTGATACCCCGTGGGACTGCTTTCTGCAGGATGAGGGATGGTTCGGGTTCTTCTCTAACACACCTATATCGTTTGTATATTGTACATCTGTGTACACATAATTTCATCATATATACTGTACAGCGCACGTTCTCTGGCGATGAAAGGCAGAATTATGTAGCTTCCTGCTCTGATCTTAATGGGAGGTTGGGTTGGAAACGAGTAAAGGAGAGGTTGGGGGGATTTTACTGCTATATGATCTTTCGCTGTGAAAAAGAAGGCCTAAGATCCCACTTGATATGTATCGATACCTACTGCCATTTTGTTTATGTTTTAGTTTTCTCATTTGTACATATTGTTTAATCTTTCATGTTTTATTTTTTCATTTTTATTCTTATGAGTGTGCTTTAACTTTTATATTTGAATATGACCATATCCCAGTTTACACTGACAGAGGGGGAACAGGTAGGGAGTAAAGGTCAGGTATTTTATTTTTTATTATTCGTTCCCAATGAAGACAAAGAAGTAGTGGCATCCCATAATGCATTGGATCAGCAGCACCAGTAGCACATATCATTTTTTCCGTGGTATATTTACAAAGTTTGGCTGTGCATTAAAGACTGAATGTGTGTGTGCATGTGAATATACACTGTATACTTGAGGCTAACTTTTACAGTATTACTATGTTGTGCTGTTTCTCAAACTGTAAAGTATCTTAAAGTTCCTAATTAATATCAAGCAGTAAACTTTAAATAGTTGTAACTTGTACTGCATGATCCTACGATCCAGACGGAGGTAGAACTCACGGTAGTCTTTGGAAGCGCCGCAGTCCTCTCAGAAACCAGTGACTCTGGCTTTCACACACCACCCTCCCGTTCTTGAATCTGTTTTTCTTCAGACAGGAAACTCACTAAGGGCTTGTCCATCACTCTTTTGCTGAATGCTCTTCTGTCTTCTAGAGGAGTCTGCTTGCAGAGCGCTCACGGTAAAAGCTGTTTGATGAGGCAGCAGCAGGTTCACACACTTACTCTGGTTTAGATGTTTAGTTGCGGACAGTGATCGATGAACTGATTCATAATGAAGCTGTACACCGAACGTTCAATACGCACATTCTGTTTGATGTTTGTAATAATCGGAGCACTAACGTCCAGTAGTTTGAAGACCGTCTTGCATCTGGTGAAACTCAGAGCTGACAGTATTTGTGTTGAAGGTTTCATGAGGTATGGATCTAAACCAAAGCTGCTTTTGGTGCCACTGGTTGCAGCAGGGCCAGCTCCTCTCTCAGGTCTCACTAGAGTCCCATCACGTTCACCTTCCTGGGGTTTGTGGGTCAGTAACACATTTCAGGCAAACAAAGAAAACTTAAAAAAAAAAAAAAAAAAAAAGAGTTTTTGCTTGTAATCAAGCACAGCTAATAACTGCTCTGCCCACACCAACAGTCAACAACCATGTTTCAAAGTCAAGGCCCATGGGCCAAATATGACCCTTATTTACAATTTTATCTGACCCCAGAGATCAACATTTCAAATGTTCTGGAACGGCCTCATCAATCCGTGACAGGTCGAGTCTGTTCTGCTTTAACAAACGATCAAACTCGGTGCAGACTTTAGCCAAATGTGAAGCTGATAAAGTTGAGTTTGAATTCTTTACTGTTGATGGAACACGCAACGCCAAACATTTACAAGGGACTGATCCAACTCGATCAATTAGAAAAGGCAACAGATTGTTGAGCTAACATGCATCAATCAGTGCAGCATAAAGTCTAATTTAACATGTTTAAATCTTTTTTTATGTTCTCTTACTGTAAAGTAGAATTTTAGTATGTTTGGATCTTTTGTTGAAGCTTTTTTTTAGCGGATTTCATAGATTCAGTATAAATTATTACAAAAAAATAGTAATTAAACTGTTGACAGCGAGCACAGTGTAAGAAATGAACGCGGATGACGTGCCTTTTAAAATTTGATTATTTTTTTTAATAAGAAAGTTATAAACACCAATCTTCCAAATTCCTTAAAGTGCTATTTAAATAATCATCATCAGTGTCAGTATCAGCTCTCAGTGTTGCATCACTGTTTTTCCAGCTGAAATCTGATATTTCTAACTGAAATTCCCCAAAATGCAATGGAAGTGCTACAGCTAGCTGCTGCTGTTCATGTAAACAGTTCTACGTGAGAACCAGGTGGGGTGAACCTGACTTTAGATTTAAAAATATTTTAAAGCCTGAAGTTCATTTATTCAACCTTTTTTTTATTTAGTTGTTTTAACTACAGCACTCTTTTGTGATCAGACTACCCATTAAACTTAAACTTACTTTACACTATTTCTCTGAGATGATGTGGTTCAAAGAGCCATCTACAACAGGGAAGATAGTTTGTCATAATCTTTGCTCAAGTGATAACATGGAAGATGTGGTTTTGCCCATATTGAAACTACGGTGGCCCTAAGGTGCAAATAACCAACATTTGAAAAATTTAATTACATTAAGCCAAAGCGGAAGAGGCTCGAATCACGTTAGAAAAAAATGGAATTACATTTGAAAAAAAAAAAAAAAACGGAACCACATTTGCAAAAATGGAATTACATTAAGCCAAAGCGGAAGTGGCCCGAATCACATTAGAGAAAACTGAATTGCATTAGAAAAAAACGGAATCACATTTTAAAAAACGGAATTGCATTTGAAAAAAAAAATGAAATTGCATTTGAAAAAAAATGAAATTGCATTTGAAAAAAAAATGAAATCGCAGTTGAAAAAACGGAATTACATTAAGCCAAACAGGAAGTTTTTTTTAACTTTATTAACGGCATAAAACCGAACAACAGAACAATATACAGTACACACACACAACGGAGATGCAGTTAACAGGCTATCCTTTTAACTGTATCTCCATTGTGTGTGTGTACTGTATATTGTTCTGTTGTTCGGTTTTATGCTGTTAATAAAGTTTAAAAAAAACTTCCTGTTTGGCTTAATGCATTTCCGTTTTTTCAACCGTAATTCTGTTTTTTTCTAATGTGATTCCGGCCACTTCCCCTTTGGCTTAATGTAATTCCGTTTTCTCAAATGCTGTTCATTTACACCGTATGAAACATTACTGCATCAAATATTGTGCACATGTGCACAACCAATGTGAACCCGAGAGCTGTCCTGTTTCTGCTGCGTTCAGTGAACTTGAATACTAACCTCAAGTCAACCTCGTGCACCAAACGTTTGCACAAGAGCTTCCTAACCAGCTGCAGCTCTGCTCCCAGGATTACCGAGCATCACTGCCGTCTGCTGGTCGGATCCAAACGACAGATCCACTTCAACCCGTTTCTACTCACTGCCTCTTGATGAACCCGTCAGTGTCTTGTGTTGGAGAAATAAGACCCCCCCCCCCCCCCTGTCCCCTCTTACTATTTTTCTGTTGCATGAGAATCTCAAATGAGGATGCAAATGTTTGTTCTGTTGGACCTATTATCAAAATATACTTGTGTTTCAATGCACTTTGTGTCGACTGCGTCTTTATTTCTGCTTCCGTGATGAAAAGGACAAACTTTTTCTGCCCCCAAAGAATAAAAACAAACTTCAGTCCGATGTGACCCCAGGTGCTACAGCTAACTGCCACTGGAGCTACACAAATCCATGTAAGAAGCAGCACGTGGTAAAGGTGACAGCATGTATAGACTCCTCTCTAAACCGAGGCTGTTCAAAGGGCTAACAGGTAAGATATTCATTGTGATCGCCTCGCTTTAAAGTGGCCGGAATATCCCTTTAACACACACCTGCCAGTATTTTTACAGACTACAACCAGTCGTACCAGTCAGGTTAGTTATTAGCACAAACTAAAACTGGTTACCAGGCACAAACAATAAACACAGACAAAACTTAGGAAGATCAACTTTATTTACATGAATAAATATAAAACTTTGGTTTCAGAAAATAAAATAAAAACATTAACGTCGTTTTCATTTGAGCAGCAAAGTTTGATCCTCAGGCTGTGAAGTTCAAGGCACACCCTCATCTTCATCACGCTGGGCTGCTCATCATCACCTCATTTACTTGCAAAAACTGAAGGAAAAAAACGTGTTGCAAGAATTCAGTGAGAAAATAAACCCCGTTAAATCTGTAAACAGCTAAAAGAGGGGAATGTGTTTTAAAGTGCTTCAATCTCAAATGTTTGTGCTGACAGACAGACGTTGAATTCAGTTAGTTTTACCCAGCTGATGGAATTTGAAGCTAGAATAAGTTTAGAAAATATGTTTGTGGAGAGTTTTACACTTAACAACAGTTATGATTTCACAAAATTTAACAAAATGAAGCTTGTGTGAAGACAAGTTTTCTTTTCAACGGGAGAAAATGTTAAAAATTGTTAGCTTAAGCTAGCGTGGAGGCTTTAATGATTGTCAAGGCCTCGGAGCTAAAACAGAAATGCATATCGAGCTAAAGGGAAAAACACATCGAACTAAAGCTAAAGGAAAACATGGAGCTAAAGAAAAACATGGAGCTAAAGGAAAGCATGGAGCTAAAGC